AAAAATATATTCTTTATAAAAGGTCAATATTAACATATTAATATGATTGTAATAATATGAATTTTTAAATACAACATTCCAACATTTTCTTATATGTTGAAATATAAAACTATGAGAATTAATTCGAATAAAACAATTTTTTATATATATAAAGAAATACATAATTCTCGATGATTTTATTTGAATCTCACTGTACGTGCAAATGTATTAAGGAATCTTCTCACGATCATTCATAATTTTTACCTTTATGGATAACGAGACAATACACGCGGATAACGCATAAATAAATCATTTAAAAATTCGGTTAAATTATTAGAAATCGATTGGAAAGGAATGGCAACTTTTTGATTAGGATGGGAGAAGATGGACGGTGCGTGTGCGTGTTGTGTGGAATAGATCAATGTTGTTTATCGTTGACCTGTGGAGAACGCCGGTGTTCGGCGACGAGCGCGTTGTCCAGGACAATGTGGATTCGCGGCGGCTCGCCGCGAAAACGAGGTCACGTTCCTCGAATTCCGACGGATCGAATGGCTTATCGCGAAACGATCGAAAAAGCGGATTTCCCCGTTTCGGGCGTTCCTGGTATCATTTCTTGATTCGTGGTTTCTCTCCACGGGGCGGATCGATCGCGAGTGCGTCACTTAACCTCAAATTTGCCGCATAGGATGCCGGTACACGCGCGCGTGCAACCAAGATCACGCGACTCTCGCCGTGTATCTCGCGGACGCTGCACACACCGTATACGCGGGTATTGTCACACGGGTTACACCCACCTGTTATTTTTCGTTGTCCTCTTCCTCACCCTCTCGCGACGTTCTCCCACGTCCCTGCCCACTTCCGTTCGACCCTTCGTTTTCGAGCACCAGACAGCCGGCAGCAGATCGTCGGCGACTATGTAATCTCCCAGCAGCAACAACGACAACAGCAATACCACACGATTATCGTCGTCCCTCCTCCTGTCACCTGACCGCGCACATAAACGCGCGGCACGCGACGCACCACCTTTCGCGCTCGAGAACGGCAAGCGCGGAGGCAACAACCTCGGTAGCTCTTCTTGTTCTTCCGTGATCGTCGTTACTTCCCTTCGGCGGTCGATGATCGGTTTCCTTCCTTCCTTCCCGCGCGGTTGCGTCTCGCGTGATGAAGTACGCTACGATCGAGCGAATAACGCGAGAGGCGTGTATATCGTCACTTCGCACCGTCGTGGCTCGGTAAGCTCGAGTAAGCTCGTCCCGCCTTGATCGCAAGTTTTCTTGTCACTGTTGGGCGGCGACGGCGGCGGCGGCGGCGGCGGCAGCAACGGCAGCAACACCAGCAGCAGCAGCAGCGGCAGCGGTAACACGGCACTATCACAATCACGATATCGCCATCAGTACGAACTCCTACTTCCCCGACGGCGGCGGCGGCGGCGGCGGCGGCGGCGGCAGCAACACCAGCAGCAGCAGCAGCGGCAGCGGTAACACGGCACTATCACAATCACGATATCGCCATCAGTACGAACTACAAGGCACCCTACTTCCCACGCCGATGTTGCGGCGCTGGCGTGTAGCCCGGTGGTAGTCTGGCCGTACCGATGTAACCGGTTGTGTGTCGAGAGTCTATTCTTCTCTCGAACGTAGGGCAAGGCCCGCCACCTTGCAATTTACTCTTACCACCCGGTACTCCGTTCTTTCCACTTCCAGTACTGTCCCTCGGTGCTCCCACCCCCGACGGCAACGCTCCCCCTCACTGTCACTCCCTCCCGCGTGCGCGTCGCCCGACCCTCGGAAATTCTGAAAGCGGTTCGCGCCTGTGCAACGCGGGGGTGGCGAGGGACCGAAAATCGAGGTGAAAGGAAACTCCGCGGATCCAGCCTAAGGGTCTCTCCTAGGGCTGATGCGTGTCGGCTGTGCCCCCTCGCGTGTGCGTCCTGCGAGCGCGAAAAATTGATAACCGCGCGCGCGTACGCACCCACGCACGCACACACACATACAAAACACATATACATATATATATATATATACACGTGCATATATATATATATACATATATACATACACGCGTGTATACGTGCATGGATTCGTGACGTATCGCCAATATTTTTATTGCCTCGGGCGATTGCCTTTTCCCTCTGCGCGTCGTCGCGACCCTCTCATCGCCAATTCGGGAAGAAAGACCATCCGCGGCGCGCAAAACGGTAACTCGGATCGCGTTCCTTCATCGGAATAAGTGACGGTTTGATCGCGCGGCTACTTCCTCAAGTGACATACTTTTGTTTTCGTGAGAGAAGAATAACTCTCATCGGTGAGCTGCTGGCTGCGGAAGGAAAACTGTGTGATTTATCTTCGAGGAGGATAGTGTGATTATTCTCGAGTGTACGCGACAACCTGCGAGCGCAAGGGAGTTATGCGAGTGTGACATGCCAGTGTATCATCGTCGGGTGAAGTGACCATTAATAGCAGGTGTGATCAAAGACTCGCGTCGTTTTTGTCGTATGCGGCATTAGCTAGCGCGATCGCGAAGTGCGTAGTGACTGGCCTACGACGAGTGGTCTTGCCGCTGTATCGCACGATCATTAGAGACCATCCGGAGGATCGAACCGATGCGAGGGACATCATGTGTCCCCAATTGCAGCCCTCGTTAGAGGGTTGAATCGGCGATTCCGGTGTCGCGCGATCGGCCGACACGGATCCGCGGGTGTTGTGCACGACGTGCTCGTCGGCGATCGTCCGCCCGAGAACATCCCTGCCGTGACGCGAGGTGATCTCGCCGAGGACCAACCGTGTACCACATTCCCGCGCTGCAAGTGAGTCCTAATTCACTGCATTTTCACGATTCTCGATAGCAACGTAGCATATTATGCCTCTTGCCTCTCCTATTTGAATTACGCAATTACGGATTCAAGTCGGTAGTTACATGCTGAAGAGAAATGAAATTGATGGAAATCTCGAGAGCTATCAAATAAATAGATTCGCATAATATTATTCACAATATTTCTATCAATTTTTGATAGTACTTGTCGTGACTTATGTGAAATCCAAATATAGGTCAGAGTATTTTGTGTTAAATATGTTATCTCTTTCATTAAATTTAGTAGATTGACGAACAGATCCTTTTCCATAGAGTGTAGAGAATTGTATTTGTTTTTAATCAATTTGAAATCGCTTTTCGTGGAACAAAAATATTAAAGCACAAATAGTTTCAGAATCGTGCGCGATTAAAATTGAACTAACTGTGATTTTATAAAATTTTTTATTTTTTTATAAAAAAAGAGTCAGCTTCGAGTCCATTAAAGGATGCATGCATATGTAGATGTGTAATGGCGGTAATTTTAGAACACTGCATATTATTATTCTTGGATGTGATATATTTGAAAAAAAAATCTTTTTCCAAGATTGCAATTTTTTAAACAATTTTATACTATCAAAGTTTAAATATAATTTTGATCATAAAAATATATATAACCAATGTAAAAATATTAATTCATTTCGCTAAAATAAACTATAACATTGCATGATATAAAAAAAGTATTATACGCGGTTTTTCTATAAGAAATAATAGAAATAAGAGAGAGACATACATATTTTCTGTATATATTTAAAGTAAGTACAACTGATAAAGTCGTGAATAGATTGTAGAAGAGCATAATGAAATTGTGGAAACTAATCTTAACAAATATTAATATTTAATCGATGTAAAGCCAAGAGCCATCAATTTCAGTTCTATTTCAACCGTTAAGTGATGGCGCGAATTTTGTTAACTCCCATGGCACCGTAAGAAATTTTATCATTCGCGATTTCATCGTAAAACTATTAAGCCTCGGGAACCATCTAGTGCCACGACATTTCATATAAAACTCGTAATCGCGTAAAGTGTTTCAGAAGTTGCGGTTATTCAATCATAAGCACATTAGATCTTTGCCACTTTGTCCACTCCCCGTTAAAAAGTCCTCGACACCCTTATCCGCTTTGCAGAGCGATTTGTCACGATTAAAATCTTGAAAGGAATTTCCATCGTGTCCAATTCGGGTCACTACAAACCCGATCAAACTTTAGAGTCTCTACAGATTTCTGAGCATCGGCGAATTACAAAGCTTTCTGTCGATGCGCGCTGCATTCTCAAAGCTTCTGCAATCACGTCAATCGTTTTTGTATCGTGAAATACATCGAATTGTAGACGTTAATCTTTTCAATTGTCAATGCCAGATTATCGACATTCAGTGTTGTTGTTATTTAAACAGATGCAATAATTTTTTACAGTTTTCATGTCAAAGGTTTCATTTCTTATGCTTTTTTTAAATATATATACAATCAGATTATATATATATAATTTTAAATATGACAGAATTTTAATTAGCACAAACACATGATATGTAAATTATACAAGATATAGATTTGTGTGAAAAGCTTGTTAATTTCTCAGAAGTCAAGGCCACTTAGATTGCTATAAATCTTGACTATGCGAGTGGATAAGCCTCTAACACGGCGCATGACGTGCCATTGATCATCGCACTGGCATTGCTCGCGTGGTTAAAGTCTTAATGTTTCCCTGGTGCTGCGTTGATTTTACTGTTATTAATCCGATATGCGCGCACATGAGGCGGCGAGATAAGCAGTACGATTATTAGTCTCCGACCGATTATAACTGATTGTTTCTTCTCTACAATGGGACAATTTATCTAAAATAATTCGAAAACAAATAACAATACCTATGCATGTTATTTATTTTTAGGGCAAACCTATTTTTCACATCGTTGCAAAAATTCACATTTTAATCCAATATTTTAGCTACCGTTTACTCTTTAGATAGAACAGTTTAATAAATTATATGTCAGCTATTTTGATATTTTCATAAATTAGAAGTATAATATTTTTTGCCATTTCTGTGTTTCTATGAAATGTATTATAATTAAAATCAAAACTCATGGAATGCTATATAATAATATTATAAACTTGGTATTACATACGTGGTTTGTATGCTATTTTATTTTGAAAATAAAACTTTGAAACATTAAAATATATTTTAATTAATGTTGCAAAACTACTAATATCATACGGCTTTCTGTAAATCTTAAATTATGAAAAATATCCTCTTGCAGATTTAAAATACATATTTGCTTTATTATTTCTTTCACATTATTCAGTGCAAGTCATTAAAATTCTGCGGACAATATCTAAGCTCAAAGTGTCTACCAAATATACGAGTGGCGCAAGACGTGCATTACGAAAGGAGTTCACTTCGGCTGCTCAACTTAACCGCATCGTCCTTTGATGCGCCCTATGTTCTTAATTTAATTTATTATACTATCTGTCACGATTGTGTGGAGTTTCCAGGTATAGCGCCTCGTGAATCAGGTCACTATAAATTTCGGCCCTACGAGCAGAGTAAGCTTTCGTACCGCTGTGTGATATGCCATTGATCATAGCGTAGACACGTAGCTCGTCGCGTAGAGCTTGAGAGCTTGAGGCTCTTCGACGTAGTTACGTTAATTTTACGAGCCGCCCCAGTTTTCCGCCCCCTTGGCGTTTTGCTCTTCTAGGCAACGTCGTCAGGAAATTACGTGCGGCGGTATGTCGACAAGTGATCTTCTCTTCTTCTACGCTTCTCTCCGTCTCTCTCTCTCTCTCTCTCTCTTTCTCTCTCACTCTCTCTCTCTATATGTACTTCAACTTGACTCTGTTAATCGATATAATATACCACAGAGTGCGTGTTAACTTAAAAAGTGATTACCACTTTTTATAATCCGTAATTTTCTTTGATGTGTGTTTACACGATGTCTTTTAGAATGCTTTTGTCATGTATGTATATATATATATATATATATCTTCTCTTTCTGATTATTTTAGAATATTTTACAAATATATAATCGCGTTTTCCTTTTCTCTCCTATAGCATTCCATGACAGATAATCTTTCTGCTAATATATTTATTTGCATCAATTATATTATATATACACGTCATATATGCATGTTCTGTACATATATACTTATGTGTATGATATATAATAAATTATATTATTAGTGTAACATATCATTTAATTTATCTTTCACCTTCTGTTTTATTATATCATTTTGTGATATAATAGAAAGCATGTGGAAGCTATAGACAATATTTATCATTCATATTATATTTGAATATGTACTTTTGATATTGATATGCAGTATACACATAGAGAGATAAAGATGTACGCGATAGCTATTTAACGTATGAAAATAACGCATTACGCAGACACATACACGGAAAAAAAAATTTTCGCTACCATAGCTAATCATGGTTTGCAAAATAAATTTCTAAACTACAGCAAAACGGTTTGCTGTTGCACTTAATAAATAGGTATCACAGCTAAGATGTTTGCTGTTGCACCTAATAAATAGGTGTCACAGCTAAGATGTTCGCTGTCCATATATTACGACTGAAATCTAGTTACTACACGCAGTTTTTAGCTACGGCAGCTAATTTTTTTTTCCGTGTGTGCAGATAGAGCGGACCAAACTGAGTCGGAAAATCCTCTATCATTTTTTTTTTATAACGCTTAATAAAGGAGTTATTATTGAGTAAAGTCTGGCCAATCAGCG